TAGGAATTTCCAGGCTCGATGGTTCCTGATTCCGAAACTTTTTCACTGAGTTTAACGCTTTTTCGTGACCGTCTAAACTGCCAGATAGCTTTCGATAATCATCTGGATTGTACATTTGGTCATTAAACCAATGGTCTGCCTGTAAGAGATGAATCTACCACCATAATCGGTTGAAATTTAGACAATTTTAAAGTTTTGTCAAAAACAACTTAATCATTTGAAATTATTTTTTTTACTTATGCTTATGTCAAATAAAGATGGTTTGCAAAAAATTGCCCCTCCTATTTGACTTGTTTTATTGAAGTGACAGGAAGAGTGTGGCCATTTGGTTCAATGAATTAGAAAAAAAGCTCTTTGCATTTATTGATTTATAATATAAACAATTAATTTCTTCTAAATAAACATATCTGTTTTTTAAATTTTAGTAAAAGAGAGCAAAAAAAGACTGTTGAAACAAAATTAATCAAACTCTAATATCATAACAAAAGATAACATTCTGCAAATATTACCACAAAATCATTTAGTTCTATTTTGAAATTTTATGGGGATAATGCAATCTTAGAACTTTCATTAAGTTTTCAAAAAACTCAAAGGTTATTCCATAAGAACATTTTTAGGATACAAAACAAACTTAGCTTTCTTTCTCGCTCTTTACAATTAGCATTTTACAAAATCAATACTACTATATACCAAATGACAAAATTAGTCAATGAAGTTCATATTTGAAGTCTTCTGAAATTATCAAAAGAATTAAAGTACCAGCAAAGTCAAAAAATAACAAAAGTAACATATACCATAATTCTTTTCTACAAAGTGATCTTTGTATACCCAAAGATTATTTTGTGGAAAGGCAAATTTTTTTTCTGGGGAAGTTATAGGCTCATCGCGGACAGTTTCTCCAGCTTGACGCTTAATTATTCGAACACTTGATGTGGCTTTAAACTGGTTAATTACTCATGTATTGTTTTTAACTTAACTCATAAAATTTGTTTACGTTCAATACGTCTTTGTAGAGTTTCCTTGACGATTTTTAATATAGCTTATTTTGCAACAAGTATAAGTAAATACATAAAATTTTGTAAATTTTCTTTTCTTTCATAGACAATAAGTTTTTAAGTAAAATAATAGTAGTTTTAAATAATTATAATTAAATGCGATCGAATCTCGAGTTACCAATATAATGGTTTTTTGCTTTTTCACTCCTTTCTATTCGACGCCCTGAGCGATCGCTCAACCATGCCCTACCTTAACGATGCCACTAGTGATGAATATATATGAAATATTTTCTAACACTTAATTTTTTGTATAAATATAATAACAGCTTGATTCTTAAAAACTTTAATGATAAATTTACAAAAAATGTAAATAAAAAGTATTCTCTTAGAATAAACCAATGGAATACTTGTAAATTGACAAGAATTAGTAGTAAGTATTCTGAATATGGAATATCATACCGCGAACCAAAACTATGCAACACTTTTTAAAAAATAAAAAACTTAAATATAATTATTATAACATTTATATTATAATAATTATATTTAATATAATTATTATATTATAAATTTAATTGTTAAATTCCTTTGGGTTTGTAATAAAAAATGAAATGTTTAAATTAGATAAATAATTTTCTTGATTTTTCAAAATGAAAATCGAATTCCATTATTCTTAGTTTTTTACTTGTTTTAATTGGCTCTTATTTTGATTGTTAACAGAGTTTCCCAGTATATTTAAATGATTATTGCTAAAATTATATTGATATTATTTACTTTCTTGAATTAATGTATATACTTATGCAAGCTTTAACCTTTTTATTATATTGGGGTAGAACAAAGTATTTTTAACTGGTAAAACCCACATAGCCTCTATGATTGTGATAACTTTAATCATCCGTATCTACAGCAAGAAAAACAAAAACAATCGTAGTACATCGAATACAAGCAGACAAATTTTTTTTTGAAGGACTTTTAATTACCTGGCAGTTCAAAGAAAAATATACATTATTTAATACAATTCAGTGATCACAAAAAAATAAGTATAATAAGTTTTAATAAACAGTTTGATGAAGATGTACTACACTAGACCCCTCTGGCCACCATACCAATTAAACACCAGACTCCTCTATTCTAACAAATATGAAGACACAGGCGCTTTAAACAAAGCAATATTACAATGCGTTATTATTTATTCATTTATTTATTTGTGGTACAATGACATGATCTATTATGAGTCTATGCTATTTCCCAGAGTTTAAGAAGATCATTATTTGTTAAACTTTGTTGTTACATAATTAACAGTGGTACTTGATAAACTTTTTGAAATAAATTTTTTTATGTTTACTCGATTGTGCTCACAAGCATTATTTATTGTTACTAATTGTATATTTATATTTTAAAATAACAGAATATAAAACCTATTTGAATTTTTTGAAAAAGTTAAATTATAAAAAAATTTTAAAACTTTTGGAGACAATATTTTTTGGCATATATACTTTTTAAAAAAAATATAAAAATTGTTTTTGTAAAAGTTACTTTCTTTTTTTTTGCGGTCTTTGAAAGCGTTGACCGGCGTTCATTGCTTCGGAGCGTTTGGTTGGGAGCGTTCGCTGCTATTTGAAAAAACGCATACCACAGGGCAACAACTCTATTTAAAAAAAAAAAATTTTACTTTTCACAATTTCTCACTAGTTGGTTTTCTAATTTATGGTTATATCTCCTCAAGGTATATCTACTTTTATAATTCATTGTTTTTGCAGGATAAAGAAGTCGAAAAATCGAGATAATGCATAATTTTAAATTGCTCGATAAGGTCTCGTGTTTTGCAGCGTTTTTCCATTGTTGTTAGGTCTATTCGTTTGAGTTAATCTTCAAAGGACAAGTGTTTGAATATTAATATTGTTTAGCCGTTCGATGTTGGACTTGCTCAAGGAAGGCGATGTCAGACTTATGTGGGTGGTACAGTAAACTCAAAGTTTGGGCAAATGTAAATGAGATACAGTGTTTGTCATAACTAAAAACTGTAAAGGCGAAACAATTTTTGAGTTACTTTACTTGTAGCCTAAATTTAAGATCGTTTCACCAAGGTCTTGTTTGACTGCAGACTTTTCAAGCAGACGACGTTCGCCATTATTTATTTGATGAATTGTAAATATAATTTTTTAACATTTAATAATATTTAAACATTTTACTCGTTTTTATTGTTTTTTTTTTACAAAAATAGTTTTACTTCAGTACAACGAGAATCATTTAAAGTTAAATAGCTCCCATATACTTGCTGATCTTGAGGCAAAAAAACTAATAGCAACAATAGCCTCTTAAGCCCCTTGAACTACGTTGCAGTAAGTTCACCAACTCTTTTCATCTTAAAAAGTGGAAAGAATCGTTTAACATATTATTAAGCAAAAAATGATACTTTATTAGATAATAATTTTGCGATAAAATATCATATTTGTTATTTAAATATTGCCTTAAATACTTTTCATCAAAATAAAAGTGCTATAGTTTTGTTTTTTACACCTTTATAAAAAATCTATTTTTTATTTTAAAAACTTGAAGTTAAATTTTTCTTTACCATATAACTTATATATTATTATACTAATATTTAAATAAAATAAAAAGAATATTTTGTTTGCATTTTGTATAATTATTTTTAACAAAGAAAACACCACAAATTTTGAATGGAATTCTTTTTTTTTTTCAAGCATCATTTAAAACCAACGGATCAACCTGTATCAACGGATCAACCGGATCAACCTGTATCAACCGGCTTGCGACTTTACAAACCCACTATAAGCACAGAATAGCCATTAAAATTGGCCAATCTGATTCGCTTATTTTGAAAGAGAGGCAAATCCGCAAAATTGGAATATAAGAAAAATATTCGGCGTTAAACATAAAAATAAAGAAAAATAGTTCGATTTTGTTTACTTTTTGCTCATTAGTTTGTGTTTATTTATTTAAAATTGTTAATAGATTTTGTATTTATTTATTAAAAATTGGACTCCGTTGCTTACTATTTTATTTAATTCAGAAGTAGTTTATGATAATAAAACTGTTTATCAGAGGAGAAAGCTAATCAACACTTAGAAAGAGTATCGAAATAAAAATGCACACTAGATACAACTTACAAAATATACAACTTAGTTAATGTTCAATGCATAAGAGTTTGCTGTACCCAGTAGATTTGATTTACATTTAACTTTTATGCTTTTAACCAGCTTGTATGTGTTATTTCTCCTTACTCTAGCTGCATTTATATTACATTGATATAACAGTATCATAATAAAATAGTCATATAACTGAAAAAAAAAATTAATTTGTAAACTGCATTTATCAAAACATCTAAATAAATATTAACGTAAATATACACATAAGATGTTAATACTAAATTTAAATAATAAAAAAAGATAATTTTAATTTTGTATTTTATTTTCTCTGCTCAGAGAATCTTTTGTTGAAAGTAATAAGCCTTGAAACGCCACATCAGTTTCCTCTGTGCTAGTAATATAAGGATTAATAATTGGGGCAGGTGAGGTTTCTTAACTGTGTTGAAGGAAAACTTCAATTCAAAATCTTTTGTGATATTCCGACTTATGTACAATGTAAATAGCCATCAAATGAAAATTTAAAGGCTCAATTTTAATATTAAACAATCTATATCAATAGAAAGAAAAATTGGAAATGTGTTAAAGTTGTTTCAATGCAAAGCAAAACATTACTCCTCAAAAAACTGGGAAATGCTTGTAACATGTCGCCAAATAAGTATAGCGAATTGATAAAAATTATTATTAACTTCATGAAGGTTAGCAAAGCGATCGAAACAAATATTTATTTAAAGATGTATTTAGAAGTTCGAGCAATTATTCCGAGTTATTATTTTATATAAATGTGCAATATAATTGTCTTGTATAGTTTCATTATTATTTGTATGATTAAATCAGTATCGTATTGAATCATTAAACGAGTTTATCTTAAATTACAGTGAAATAATAATGAAATACCATGTCAAATTTTTCCAAAAAGGTTAGCGCAAAAATACTCAAGTATATTCGAATAAAATATAAATTATATAACAATACTTTTAAGACTGCTAAAAAAATACGTTAATGACTTTGAGCATTAGCAACATTTTGTTCAACAGCTAGACTGATATTTCTTTGTCGCTTAACTTTTTTCCGTTTCAAAACTTCAACTTTAGTAGGTCTTCCCATCGGCACTGGTCTACTACCACGTGTCAGACCTTCTCTTCGTCTCGCAGCAGCAGTCGGTTGCGTTTTAATTTGTCCGAATCTTCTTTTTGAGCATAATGCTGTTTTTAATGAAAACAGAGTTGCTAAAGCGCTTTCGGTGGTATTGACACTTTTCAGTCTAAGCTTTAAACTATTAATAATTTTTTTAGAATTGGGATCGATTTTAGCTAAATCTAATAACTTTTTAAATTCAAATATAAATTCTTCACAATCTGTATTTAAAGATTCCGATTGGTTTTTTTTTTCAGTACACGTCAATGACAAAATATCTTCGTTATTTGCATCGCCAGAGATCAAACAGTTTTCTTGAGTTTCAACTGCGAAAATAACAATTTACTGTTAATTTAATAAATGTAAACCATGTTATAAAATTATTATATTATAAAATCATGTATGTATTCAATATAAATTACAAAAAATTAAAACTAATTGCAGATATCAAGGTAGTTGGACCAAAAAAGACCCGTATCGAATAATAATAATTTTACATACATACATACATACATACTTATGTGCGTGCGTGTGTGTGTGTGTGTGTGTGTGTGTGTGTGTGTGTGTGTGTGTATGTGTGTTCTAATAAACAAATGTATTTTCAGATGAAACAAAGTGGGCTTATATCGATGCAACTACTTTATTTGCCTTTACAATTCAATTACAAGCCTAAAATATTAGAAGATATTTCAATTTCGCTTTGATCTATATCTCTCAAACTTAAAAAAAATTCTGGTTCAGGGCACTTCGATCCAAGTGCAAGCTTCCCAAGTTCGTATCTGTCTTTCGATGTAATAAGTGGAGCGCACGGAAAATTAATTTTAAAAAATTTATGTATTGCAGCCATGTGTTTACAGAATCCACCTTGCCTACCACTAGGACATAAACAGTAGCCAACGTCACTATTGACTGTATATTCGACATTTGAATTTTTAAAACTAGGTACAATGTAAGTGTTCCTCTCCAACAATTTAATAGAACTAATGTTTATTTTTTCTGATTTTTGACATAATTTGTTGTAGAATATTTCATAGGCAGAGCAACGATTATATGCAGTATTCAGAAGACGGTTGCTATAATATCTGTCCCAAACATTGACAGTATAGTCTACAAGTGCTGCAACATTGAATGCTTTTGTTCTACATAAAACAATATCTTTAAGGATTCTTATTGTTGCTTCACTAAAATTATTTGTATTGTGGTTTCGAATAATTAAGTCTTTTCTATATAACATGACAAATTCAAACTTTCTCTTGTTATAGTATTTTTTAACCCTAATATAAAACTTTGGGTGCGTTAATTTTATGCTTTTTAATTGGTGCAACGATAAGTCAAGTTTTTTGCTTGTATCAGCATACATAATCTAGAAAACAAACTTGTAGATAATTGCACTTGAAATTCCATATAAATAACTTTCATTTCAAAAAATAGTAAACGAATTAAGAATTACTATATAATTAAGTGGTTATAAATCTATTTTTATATGTAACTTAAATACATTTTTAAACAAATGGTAAAGTTTTTGACGATCAGTTTTTGCAGCTTTTTTAAGCAACCAACGCCATTGTGCTTGTAATACATGAAAATAACATAATAACATTGTTGCTGTTGGCCATACAGAACTTAGTGCATTTTTTTCTTCACTTGAGTCATCCAGCATAAAAACTTGGGGCTCCTACAAAAAAATAGTTAAAATACAATGTAAAACATTTAACTAATAGAAATTCCGATTTAAATTAGGTATTGAGGCACTTGTAAACATTTAAGTTTAAAACCTTATCTAGATCTTTATATGTTTAAAGTTCAGCCCTTATGTAGATCAGTGTTTTGATAAAGTTCAGAAAACCTTTAGCCAAAATATATTTTCAAGAGTTATTGAAATGCTGCTTAGTTAATTAGGAATTGCTGTTTAGTTAATTAGGAAAGAGCTTGCATTTGATTTTGAAGTGATCATCCATGTTATATTTTAAAAACTCGGAAAACAGTGCATAAAACATCCGGTATATATTTTCCTAATTTTCCTTTTAACTTAGCTTTTAATGTGTGACAACTTTAAATCCAGACAAATTTAACAAAAGAATGTCTTGTCTAACGGAGTTATCAATCTTATTAATTTAGAAAGCATAATAACAGGTGAGGTTATCAAATTATAAAACATTGTTAGACATATCAAAGTTTGTCAGGATTTTTTGTTGTCTCATCTTAGCTGGTGGGTTTCTTCATTTTTCTGAAATTTTTCTTAATTTTTGTATGGATTTTCTTAATTTTTGTATGAGTGATGACTGCAAAAGTTAATAAACAAATATATTACAAAAATTTATACTTTAAATTAAAACATTTTGGAAATCCAAAAAAACTAAAACTTGAGAAAAATATCCGGAATTTTAGAAATAACCCGAAAAAGGTAATTCCTGACTTTGTAATACAAAGATATCAAATTGTATATATAAAAGAAGGTATATATGTTAACCATTTCATGTAATTATACATATGCATACATAGAATATACTTATAAAACTTTAAATTACCTCAGATCCTCCAAAACATCTTGGGCATTCTAATTTAAGAAGTTTGAATGCTTGCTCATAATTCTCTTCAGTTTTATTAGCATGAAATAGAATAGCAATAGGGATACATCCTGCGGAACTTGATGTAGACACAATTGTAACATTTGTTTGTGAGATATCACAAGATGAGGTAGTATCTACAAACACAATTTCGGAAGAAGATTTTCTTAGTTGATTCCTTTGCATCACTTCAGTGACCACTAGTACGGACCATTTCAGATCTTCTTCAATAACTGTCACCAACGCTCCTAAATTAAAAAACACTGAAAACTGCCAAAAAATCTGGCAAGATATAAACCACCAATTGATAAAACGATATGGGCCAGTTCATTATACTTTAGCCAGTGGCCTGTGGGACACCAAAAAATAAAAAAAATTATAAAAAATAGCGAATAAGTGAAGTTAGCTGAAGGACTTTTCTATTAACCAACAAGGTCTTACAGGTTACTTTACTGATTAGCTATTACTATCAGCAATACATGGGAAAATTACAGAAAGCTTGTTACATAAAAGAACTCAAATGTGTCTATAAACATATTATTCATTTTCCAAAATGCCCAACCAAAATGGCAGCATTTTTTAATAACCCTATTTTCTTACCTATATGAGTTAAATGTATTATTTAACTCATATAGGTAAGAAAAATTTAAAATGTTAAATTTATTGGAAAACAATGCCCCTCTAACCTGCCTGCTAACATTGAAGGGGTGAACTTGATTTTGTCATTTAATAATAATAAAAAAGATATGGTTGGTTGCCCCCTCCCTGATCTAGTCTTTATGGCTTTTTGCAAATGTATCTATTTAGGTGCTTCTAGCACAAAATAACTGTTTTTTAATACTTTTCTGTTAAAAGAACTTTGTTATTGCTTTTTTTTCAGTTTTATTCATTATATTACCTTTTATTTGTTGGATCTACTCTATACACAAAATTATATAGGAGAAATAGCTTAAATAAATGTCCCACAAAATTTTCTTTAAATTGGTTGAAATATAACGAGCTTACACATATCTGACTTTGTTATATATTTTTTTGTAATATATAAAAATACATGTCAACTCAAAGTAGAATTTGGCAGCAAACCTTCTCAATATAAACTAGGTTTTTTATTTATCATTTATCAATCTTATTTTCAAAATAAATCATTTAAATAAATTATTTTAAAATAAACTGATTATTGTTGTTAATCTCATTTTTACCTGATTCTAAGTATACATTTCTTTTATTCTTTAACATCTCTAAAGGATTTTTAAGAGCAAAATGTTTTTCTTGCCATAAATTGTATAAATAATAAATTGTACGTGATGAAGGATTAAGTGAGGCATCTGCCAAAAGAAAGGAGCCATTTTCATGATAAATAAAGTTATCTGTGTGTATACGTTTTGCTTGAGCTGGACTTAATCCACTGTTAAAATAGTTATAAAAAAGTTTTTTTGTAACTGATGACACTGGTAAGTATTTCATCAAATCTGCACATTCAATTTTATGGTTATGGTTTTTATGAACTACTATAACTCCACTAAGGGGAGGTTCTTCTTTTAGATATTGATCATTTTTCTTAGTATTTGCATTTACTTTTTTGATTTTGATATCAATTTCAGCTACACAGTATGTGTTTTTCCTTGATTTAATTTCTTTATTTAGTTTTGAATGTTGACATTGATATTTTCTATGTGCCACAAGCCTAAATAAAATATATTTGCAAGATATATATACACTTACTGTTAGTTAATGCTTATATTATTATTTATTAGCCCTCAAGACCTATAAGACCTGACTCACTATTGATTGTGATATGAAAAAAATATATAATAGCTTAGTAAAGAAGCTAAGGGGGTTCCTAACAGACAAAGAAAAGAAAATACAAAAACTAGAAATAACATAATAATACAAATAACAACAATACATACCCATTTTGTAATGTTACCAAAAAAAAAATTTATTCTAACCCTAACTGTGTTGCTAACCCTAAATTTTTCTTAAACTGTTAGCTATTGATCGATAAATTAAATTTCAAATCATAAAAATTTACTAAATTAAGATAATATCTTAACATTAAACAAACTAAACTTGTGATATAGGCTAGAACACCAAGGCAAATCTAAAGAAATGAAACAACAATAATAAAAAGTAGACATGCTTATAAGATAATACCACCATTTTGGGATGATGATGGTAAAACTTAAGGAATGAAATGATAAAAATGGAGAAAAATATAAAAATTTAAATTTGCAAACAAAATAAAAACTAATACAAAATACATAATCCTTATATAACTAAAAATATTTAATTTTTTTTATTTAAATAGCTTCAATTTATTTTAATCAAACCTTGTTTGTATTAAAGAAAGCCAAATAACCCCAAATCACTTTATTCAAATAAACCCCAAATCACTTTATTTAAAACCACTAATATTTAAAAGTTTATTTTCTGAGGTAACAAGGAAACATTGCTTTAACAAACTTATTATATGCCAATGTTATATTTCAAGACATTGTGTTAAATAGTCATGACAAATTTAAAACATCAGCAAATGACTTATAATGGTCGGTACTTTATAACAGTACTGTCGGTACTTTATAACAGTATAATGTATCGGTACTTTATAACAGTACAAGTATCGGTATAACAAGTATCGGTACTTTATAACAGTATGGTCGGTACTTTATAACAGTATAACAAAATAGAAAAAATGATACCAGAAAACAAAATATCTCTTACTTCAATCAAGTAGAAATCCAATTATTTCCTGTTGACTAACGATTAATAAAGTAAATTTTAAATCATAAAAATTTACATAATTAAACCATGTTCCAACAGTAGAAAAACCAAAATTACAGAACTAAAAAAATGAAATAAAAAAATAACAATAATGGGTATAATACATAATTGTTTGTGTGAAATTTTTAAAATGATGTTCCTTGAAATGAATGTTATTTAAATTTAAAAAACAATATATTAAACTACCTTGAACACAGGACATAAAATTTGCCATGTAAGAAGCACATTTTTTTTTTAGATAAACATTATCAACTGTTTGATCTTGAATTTAATTTATGGTCATTAAGTGTGCTAAACTGACAACATTTTAGCGTAAAGTTTGCTCAACTGTAACCAAGGAATAAATACCCTTATACAACTTGTAGTATGTGCGTGTTTAAATTATATATATATATATATATATATATATATATATATATATATATATATATATATATATATATATATATATATATATATATATATATATATATATATATATATATATATTAAATATATATAAATTATGTTAGTGTATTCTACAAGAGAGCTCAACGTTGTTAAAGAACAGAGTAAAAATAAATAAGTAAAAACACTTATCTAATTTTTTTTTTCCTTATATATATATAAATATATATATTTAATATATATATCTATGATATTTATATTAAATATATGTATCATATTTCGTGGTAAAAGATAAAATTGGTTAAAAATCCAACCTTGTAGGTTCATTCAGCTTGTATGACTTTAGCCATCTAGTGTGCGTTTTATGTCCATATTCTTCTACCCATTGGTTCGCTTCATCTTCTGATTTAATTGATGCTCGCAATTGAATAACATTTTTATCTTCAAAAATTAACTTTGAATTAAATAAAATAGGGAATGTTGAATTCATTTTTTTTAGAATCACTACCGCTGTTGTTATTAAGCAAGGTTTATTATTTTTTTTATTGCGCGAAAGTTTAAATTCCAATTTTGCAGATTTGCCTCTCTTTCAAAATAAGCGAATCAGATTGGCCAGTTTTGATGGCTATTCTGTTGCTGATAGTGGGTTTGTAAAGTCGCGTACCGGCAGGATATACTACTAAAAAGTAACGAGAAAACTCCTTTAATTCACATTATAGGAAAAATCAATTAAATCGAACAGATTCTTGTGTCCCATTGACATTTTTTATAATGTAATTTGAATATTGTTTTTAAAATTGGATTTCTTTTTTTCTTTCGTTATTTTACTGCAGTAAATTTGAATTCTGAGATTCTTTTAGAGTCTTTTAAAGTTTCTTTGAATTTATTTGCTCACGGCAAGCACGAACAAAATGGACATAAAAATAAAGCATAATGAGATTACTTTGAAAGAATAGTAAAAAGCGTCAAAAGATTTAGAAAAAGACAGACATGATAATAATATGGCAAATCAAATTAGCGTTCCTAGAAAAACTCTTGCTACTTAATGTTTTTTAAAATTCTCAATTTTTCGTACAGTAAAATGCATTTTGACGTAAAATAACTTAGGTTTCTCTGGTTCTCTCTGGTTTATTTTAATACTTTTTTGAATAAACCCACAGAACCTACAAAAATATAAATAAAAGATTCCAAAAAAAACCCAGTGAAAACCTGTTTATTTAAAGATTTTTTAAAAAAATATTCATTGTCATAAAATATTTCATCGATTAAAAAGTATTTTAGACCAAAAAAACATAATTCTAGCTCGGCGACTTTAGTTTATTTTAATATTTTTTGCAATAAACCAAAAGTGGCGTCTCTAAAGGTGACTTTCCACTCCATCCGTTTTTTCACGGGAACGGGAAAAATAATCACGTGGGCATGCGTATTATAAGTTTTAATTTGTCCGAAATAAAACTACGGATGCTCACGTGATTATTTTTCCCTTTCCTATCCCGTTCCCGTAAAAAAACGGTTGAGTGGAAACTCACCTTAAGTGACAGAATCTACAAAAACCCACGGAATCTACAAAAATATAAAAAAATTACTTACATAGATTAAAGATTTTTCCAATTTTAATTTTTTAAATATTATTTTACGGAATTAGGTTAGTTAAACTTTTCACTTTTTTTTTTTAATAGGAGGAATTTTAGGATTAAAAAAACATATGCTTTTGATAAGTTTTTGAATTGCTTATGATAAAATCAAAATTTTGCATTATACTGAAATATTTTAAATATAATGACATATATATTATATAATTAATTAAAAACCAATAAAAGTCAAAAAGGTTTTTTCATAACAGTTTTTTCTTGTTTATTTCAGTCCGCAAATATTAATGGATTGAATCATGTTAATACAGTGATATCCAGTTTCTTAATTGATACAAATTTTATGCAACTAATCGACTTTTTATTAATAAAAAAATATTTTTGCTACTTTTGTCGTAAGATACTTTAATTCATTTTTAAGGATGTGAACTGTATAGAGCACCAACTTGATCTTATACAATATTTTAAGATTTACCACGGCATAAGCAAAGTTAAATGGATCGAAGCACCATCTCCTGCTCCTGCACTTGCGCAACCTGGACCAGCCGGTGTCTTCGGGGTTTTCCCCATCGTATTTTAGTACCAAGAATTTTAAATGTGTAGCTCGAAAAACTTTTTTATGTAACCGTGTGGCAGTTGATTGGAATGTACTACCACCAGATATCATTACTTTCGATAGAAATATGCCAGATATTGTCAACATTAACACTTTCAAAAAAAAAACTTGACAGATTTTTTGGTTCATTTCCAAAAAAAACTGTATGATCGGTACTTCTGTTTCTCGCTTGGAAATGTTATTAACTCTATGTGTATATATATATATATATATATATATATATATATATATATATATATATATATATATATATATATATATATATATATATATATATATATATATATACTATTTTTTTTCTTATTTCAGTTTGGCCTTAAGCGCAGGTCGGGTTCGGTTCGGTTCAATAACAACTAAAGTTCGGGTTGAGCATCAACGCAATAGTTTTTTAATTAGTTACATTCACAATAATAAAACACAAATGACTTAAAGTAATATTCAGTAGTTAAAGCAATGCAAATTATTTGAAATAATTTTCTTTAACTACTGCAACTTCAAAAGTTCAAAAAACAAAACACTGCAATTAAAGAAAAAACAGAAAAGCAGTAACTTTCTGAAAACAGAGATAGCTTAAGTAGCCAATTGTCAGTCTTGTAATCAGGGCTAAATTTGAGAAATATCAGCATTTCTAATGTTTCTAGATTTCGGTGAGCCCTGCAATCACTCATTGTCACCTCACACACTGAAAACACTCTTTCACTTGCATTACTTGTAGAATGAATAGCCAACAACTTTCTAACAATCAAAGTCATCTTCGGAAGCTTACGCTCATGATCATTGTCTTTCCGGAATTGCATTGCACTACCCTCTATCAAAATAGCATTGGTCATACACCAGGGGGTTATTATGAGACAATTGCATTATAACCTTGTAAAATGAATGTAAAAATTTTACGACGTCACACAACAACTTTTCATTAACATTGTTTATTAGCTAAGTTTGTCAAACCTCTTTGAACCAGCATGAATGGACTTGACATCATCGAACTGGCAAGACAATAATTGCAAAAGAAAAAATTGGCTTTTCCAACGAGTCAAAACACCCTGTTTGAGGCTGTGATGTAGCTCCTGATTTTTGCCACTACTTATGAGGAAGTAACTACTGTTAATGTAATGTAAAAGCCTGATAAAAGTAATTTCGAATGTCATCGGCCCAGTGATTAACACAGAAAATTTGTATTTCAGCTTTTGAACACACTTGTTGTAAATTTTGGCAGTATTATTTTAGATTGCGTTGTTCAATCACACATAGTATCTTTAAGTTGCATCGATTAATACATCGATCCAATGTCAATCATATTTTGAGCAATGTGGTGGAGTCCATCATCCTGAACACACGAGAAAGGTTGAATGCCTGCATCAATCATGTACATGGCTGCACGTTGAGCACTCACTGTTAGAACGGATCCTGATAACCTAGCCGATCCAAGGACTTTACTTATATGGGGTGAAAGCGTACACATCAAGGTATCCTGTGTTGCAAATTTAAATACTTTTTAATTTTTTCCACGGAAAATAATTTAATTTAAATGTTTAACCTAAAGGGTTGTCCATAAATTCCGTCACGCTTTATGGGGGTGGGAGGGGTTAGTAGTTTTATGACGACTCATAGAGAAATTATCACTAAAGAGTTACAATATTGTGACGAGAAGGGAGGTGGAGGTAAGTAAGGTAAAAAACGGTCAACAATTGTGAGACGTAGTTTATGGAGGAGTAAAATTTGTCTTTATAGTGCGACAAAATAAGAACGACTACATATAACTTTATGAAAATTGGCGTAAATGTAGCATATGGCCACACCAAATCTTGGATAAAATTTCAGTCGCATTGGTGCACTAGTTAAAGATTTATGGCAATTTTAGTTTACATTTTGCTTGTTTTTTTCTACTTAGACCTCAAAATGTACTGATTACTGCAATATTCGATCACTATTTTCAAAATCAAATTAAAAATTACACGAGTGTTCTACTATGTAATACCAGTAGTTTTAAACAATTGTTTTATTGCTACATGTATCATTTTAATTCTAAAGGCTAACGCATTGCGTAAATATCTCAACATTTCCTTAAGTGTAAACTACTGCTAAAATGCAAAAGAAAATTGCTAAAAAAAAGTGAAAAACCTGGCAAATGGAGCCTTAAGGTTTTTTTTATTTTTTATTTTAGGTGCTCAAGAAGCCTATTCGGCCTTATCAGAGAGCACCGCGTCAGAGTATTTGAAAGGAAGTTTAAGCTTTTCTTACTGTATTTATAAAACATTCCCAGAGGAAGCGTTGAACTACGGATCTCTAGTTTCTGAGGCAAGCGCCCTAACCATTGCGCTACGGCTGCTTGGTTGAGTAAAGGGTAGAAGTGGTGTCTTAAAATAATACTCATCTTAGGAAGATGTTAACTGCATCCAGCTAGTGTCTTGTAGAAGGACTCCTAGGTAAAGACTTTAGGTGTAAGCAGAATAATTCTGCTAACCAGCCTCAAACTTCTTCTTCGTCTATTAAGCTGGCGTAGATATAAACCTGTGTTACATTGTTTACTACCTAGGATAATAAATACTAGATCTTCTTGACTTTATTCACGAACTAGGGCTAACGAACAGGACTAAGAAAACTGCATAGCTCATGGCTTAGGAGTTATCTCTGTCCTATTCGTAGGAGTTAGGTAGCAAGCGCGTTTATCAGCTCTCAGCTGATAAATACGCTTCCTAAGTAACCTTCTGGATTTAGGCAGGAATGGAAGCTTTTATTTCTTCTTGTCGGTTTCAAGTCAAGCCGCATTTTGCTTCATTGTTTTTATCTTCTTGTGCAGCTGCTATATCTGATCGTTATCATTTTTTCATATTTTTCAAAAAAAAAAAAACTATCGGAACAAACACTTGTTTATTATTGCAAAAAATTGATGTAAAAAGGTGCTTTCTGATGTTAATCTTATATCAGAAATTAGGCTCTTGAAACGTTTGGAAAATTTAAGCAGCCGTAGCGCAGTGGTTAGAGCCCTTGTCTCAGAAGTTATAGATTCTTTTTCAACGCTATCTCTGGGCAAGTTTTATAACATCGGTAAAGAAAGAGGCTTGAGCTTTCTATCAAATGCTTTTTTGCGGGCTCAGTAAGAAGACCGTAAAGACTTCTTGGAGCATATAAAATAAAAATTAAAACAAAAATCTTCCGCAGCTATTTGGAAAGAACTTTTCTTTTAAGTTGACTCTTAAATCTTATGGCCATAACCACTCTTCCTTCTACTCCAGTTAAACAGTTAAACCCATTGTTAGACATTCAAATCACTCCATATTCCATTAAACTCTTCTACAAATTGTGGTCCAGACAATATTCCTGTCATAGTCAAACAAAAGAATTCTCTAGAACTCTCTCTAGTCTTCTATAAACTATTAAGTAAGTGCTTAACTGAATCTTATCTTCCTGGCTGCTGGAAAATGGCATCTGTGGTACCTATTTCTAAAAACTCTTGAGAACATTCTGACCCCTTCAACTATCGTCCGATAAGTCTTCTATTGGTTATTAGCAAGGTCTTTGAGTCTTTGATTAACATAATTCTGATATTCCATCATGAGTGAAATA